TGTGTGTGTGTGTGTGTGTGTCAACAGACAATCATGCTAAGCTTGCTAACAGCTCCACCCTCTGACTGCTGCAGGGGCGTGTCTTAGAGAGAGGCTTTTATACCAGAACACAGCTGCTGTGACGAAACTGTGCAGAACCACGTCACAGCGGAGAGCCATTAACCAATATGCAAATTAGCCTGCAGTACCACTGCTCTACCCATGTGAGCAGCAAAAACACGTTTTTAGACCAAATATTACAGATTTGAACAAATATGCACAAAAACATCAAAATTAGCACAGAAAAAGTACTATATAACATTTTAGACACATTCTAGACAGTTTATCAGTTAATTTTGGGGTAAGTTACTCTTTAAATTAAAAATATTTGACAAAAGGAAAATCAGTGCACGACTAAGGAGATGAATATGATTTAGATTTTTATTTCTGTGACTGTATAGTTGACCCAAAGGAGGCACGGCATTAACAGCAGTCATCATTTCCTTCCTTGGCTTTAGCAGGTCCTTTAGTTCCACGACTGACCCTGTTAAAAATGACAGATTTTCTTTTCTGGATATCTGAGAGCAGGACTTCAATCTCCAAACTTGTTAAGTTCTTCTTTTTACTTTGCGCTGCCATTTTTATGAATGGATACTTCCTGGTTTGTGGGGCAGGAAGTGTATCCTAATACGGTTTTATTGGGGCAGTAATTATGCTAATTTCCTCTCCTCGTGCACAAGCACCTGAATACGTACAGGTGGCATTCATCATGTTTATGCTGCTCCTTTACACACTTTTCCGGATGATAGAAGCGTTTGCTGAATCTGACGTGGCACGTTCGTACGAGCCCTTCACACAAAAAAGGCAAGAGAAATTTAGGATAAAAATATGAATATGTTCTTGCATGAGGCTCATTGCCTTTTGGCTTTTAGAAGTTGTCGATGATCAGACTTTCAAATTATTATTACTTACACAAAGGTGTGTAAATACTTCATAATGGTAAGTTAGAGTTAAATCAAGTGTGTACTTTTTTATATAATATAAAATATGTTTCCTGTTTGTTTTCAGATAAAGATGATGAGGACTACTGCCTGGAAACCAGTGAAGCTCTTAGTCGTGATGGCGAACAGGAAGTGCCCCTTAACAAAAACCTGAACAAGGACCCACTCAGGGACATTGCAGATGAACACAAAGGTTCAAACCAAACATTTTCCAGTTTTTCTCAGTTGTTTACACACATTTTCTGATACTTGAGACAAAATGACCACAACATGTAACTTAAGCATCCCCTGAACCAGTTCTGCTAAACTATAAACACAATTCCTGCTTTACACTCACAGTTCTGTTCTAAAACACACTTATTTTTCAAAACACTACACACATTTCTCTGCATTTTGTCAAAATTTTCATGAAGAATATCTCTTMTCACAAAGAACACACTGTTATTTAAAACTCTAAAGTTAATTGTCCTATTATGCATCACATGGGCAAACACCTGTCCCACAAATTTACATTTAGGAATCAAAACTTTAGCTTGAGAGGAAGAAGATGACTGTGAGGACAAGGAAGGCCAAGGGCCATAATTTCTGATGATATTAGCGCCACTTTGGTTGACCACATGGTAAAAAATTAAATAAAAAATTGTGTGCGTGGGTGTGAAAACACACACACACACACACACACACACACACACACACACACACACACACACACACACACACACATATATATATATATACCATTAAAATTTCATTTTGCAGTAGAAATCTGGGGTTTTGCCCATCAATTAAGTGATTTTTGAATTTGTGTGTAGAGTTCTGAGAACATGCACCACGCTTTCAGAAAATGTGTCAAACAATCGAGAAAAATTGTAATCAACATTTGTGGGCATTTTGGAAAAGAAATGGGATTTGCTTGGTTAAATAAAAGCTAATTATTGTGTGTCTAAAGGTCCTCAGGAGTCATCTCTGCTAACAGTAATTTAGACATAAACAATGTTTTGCTTCTGACAGATTCAGCTGGTTCTAACTGTCTGTTGTTTTCAGAACCTCAGAATAGGGAGCAGGAAGTCAAGATGTGGTCTCCATCCATTGTGTGTWTTCCTCTGTTGGAGCAAATGAGACACGGTGAGTTTCATTTTCTAATAAAACAATTTGCAGCTTTTTGATAGGCTGATTTATTTTAGTTGAAACTTATTCTTTTGATTTTGAAAACAAGTACATCAAACTTGTTTACAACTGATTTAGCTATTTCAGTCTCTGCCGATGCAAGATTTCAAAGAGGTAAAAGAGTTCGTCACTGAAAACAGGAGACTTACAGAAGATTTGCAGTTGGAATAAAATAACACTTGAAATTGTATCCTGCAATAATATTTCTTTAGTGTTTTTTTTAGTTTGCAGAAGCAGCAATTGTACTATTGCATTTTTAATCAAAAGGACATTCCTTTAGCAAATTCACTCTCGTCATTGAGCCCAAAGAGTAGGTGCACTGTCCTGAGTAAAACATCATGTTTGAATTGTTTGAAATGATTAACAATGTCCGTGCCAAGTGAAAGTCTGTTGGCTCCGTACTTCAGCTGGAAATGAAATCCAGTTTTACAGATGTTAAGAGTTGAAGGACTCAAGAGTTTGTTACGCCTACATTTTCAGCCTAAAGGACAAAGAATACCTTACCTGACCTGCCTTTCATGCTGTTTCACTGTCTGAAGTTTATTGTTTTGTTTTTTTATTAAAAAAAACAGCAACGTCAAAACAGTTATGGATTTTTATAGAACCTGCAAGAACATATTGGTTTTGGATGCTGTGGTTCTTAGGTGTCGCGTTATCTGTATCTTCGTGTCCAGTTTTCCTCCTCCTACAACGCTGTCATTGCAAGTATGACTCAGCCCCCTGTGAGCAAAAGGTGTGAATCAGGGCCCCAACGATAACCAACACAAAGGGGGGGGGAGGGGAGACAAAAACAAGGGGACGTTTGAGCCCCGCCTACATTCACTACAGATAACACGACACCCAAGAACCACAGCATCCAAACCAATAAGTCAGGTGATGGGGCACATGACCCTCTATGAACAATAGAGCTAATCAAGCCTATTGTTAGG